AGGAGACAACAAAATCAAAATCGAGAAGCAGCCAAATCAGTAAAACGAGCCACCCAGGTTGCCAACCAACCCTGACCATCAACAACGCTTGTAGTAGAGCTGCTTCCTCATCGTTCATGCCGAAACTAAATGAATCAGACTTGGCAAACAAAGCAACGTAATTGCTATCATCCTCCCAACCACAGCAACCAAAAGCAATCGGACTTGGCAAAGAGAAAATCATCTCTTCTTGGATTTACGTTTACATTGCGAAATGAACTTATCAAGCGGGCCCATATCGAAATTTCTACCATCCTCCCCATTGTCAATCGACATGTCATCCTTCAACCAATCACATTGCCATCTAACTGAATGGGTAATCAAATTAGCAGTTGAGATAATCGAAATAGGAACCTCAACTAGAGCCACCTCCTCACCTGCATCCCCATCAAAAACCATAGCTTGTTCACCAACCTTGCCAACAGTTAGAACCTCATCCTCCACCTGACTATGACTTTCATTAAAATTCACATAATAGTTGATACCTGACACAACCACAATGGGAGGAACCAAATAAGGGGAAACAACCCCATCCACACCACCATACACCACCAATTCATCATCCACACAATCAGTGGGGACATTTACAACTGGAGCAGGAACCTGGAAAGATCCAGGAGAATCTAAACAATCCAGAACAGCACCCGGTTCAGTGACCACAAGAGGAGAACCTCCCAAAGCAGGAAAAATAGTAGAAACAGTAATAGGATAGACAATAACAGAGACATTAGAAGGCTCAAGTAAACTATTCACTACAAAATCAGAACCAATAATACCTACCGGAGCTAATGAAACAATAACACGGTTAGTAGAGGACTAAGATAAACCATTTATAGCAAAATCAGTACCAACATGACGACCTTCCCCCAACGACTTAGAAGGAGGAGACATGGCATAAGAATCAAGGTTTGGGTGAAGAATCCTACAACCAGCTTTCGAATGGCCCAAAGCCAAACAATGCGGAGAATACTCATGAAATTCTTCAAAAACCACAGATTGAACATACCCAATGTTATCCGGGCCTATCCAAATTTTGTCCGGGTACTATTTGGACACATCCAATTCAACTAAAACACGCGCAACAAACGGACATGAACCAATGGAGGTAGTGTTATCTGTTTTCAAGGGTTTGCAAAAAATCAAACCTAATCCATGAAGAATATGCAGGGCAAACAAATGAGGCCGGAGGTTAGGGAAAGAAATTCAGATGGGGATAACAGGCGATTCAATTTCAATATCTAAGGTAGGTGACAATTTAATCAATTTCATATAGCAATTACTCACATAATAAGATTTATGAGCTAAGACCCTACAATAATCCAAGTCGTTAAAGAGCTTAATCAAAATATTATGCAAGTTCAAAACCGTGACGGAAACATCTCCATTAAGCTTAAGCTTGAAAAAGAAACTTCTAATTGCATCACGGGATGGCCTACAACCAGGGAATTTTCCAACAAGAGTAAATTCGAACGAAGCAGCTAACGACTCGATTTCAACCTCTATGAGAAGAAATCTTAAGTTTGGGAAAGACAATGGAAGAAGGCAAAGAATCAGAAAGAGCATCCTTAAAAGAAAGAGAGGAGGATCCAACAAAAAACCAGGATCACGAAAATATGGAGGCGCCATAAAAACAAAAAGAAAACAAAAATGACGCGAAGAGCAAAACAACAAGGAGAAGAAAACTTCCCTGAGCCACTCGAGAAAAAGCACCCAGCACGAAATGCGGAGGAGGAGAGATCGGAAGGGGTGGCTAGGGCGATGCCCTAGCACACCCCAGAGAGAGAGAGAGAGAGAGTCATCGTTTTTTTTTTAACAAGCCAAATTTCATTAAAGGGAAAAGATACAATCAAAGACCACACAAAGAATCAAATTAGCTTTTGAGATAACTGAAATAGGAACCTCAAAGTAGCATCGTTTTCTCACTACTTCTTAAAGAAGCTTTTTAATTAGTACAAAATTAAAATTTTTATATTAGAAGGTTGCTTGAAGAAGCAGTGAGAAAACCGTCACTAACGAAGCCTACGATATAAAACATCCAATTTATCATCACAAATATTCTAATACGTAATAATTATAATGAATTTGATTTTTTTTTTTCAAATCACTAAGCAAGTCAAGACATGTAGAAGTGGGGCTTCATCGAACTCTTCTCATGGGCTTATCACCCATGCAACTTATTATTGATCGCCTGTTTAATTAATTAGCTATAGTGATGTAAGAGAATCTACCTTCCATAGTCAAATAAATGTCTTTAACTATGTAATTGAATAAATTTGAGCAAAACCTTTTGAAATTAGATATATAAATGAAGGAGTTTGAAGATTCACCAACACATTCATTTATATTTATGAATATATTTATTTATTTGTTAATAAATATATTAGTAAGAGCTCAGCATAAATTACTTTAATATTGACTCAATTATTTTTTTAATAACTAAGTATATTTTATGGTGTCAATTGTCTTAGATCATGTACATTTTAAAGTTATTTATTTTAGTATAGGTATAAGTATAATTGATATGTCATTAAAATTCCTCTTCGCCGAGCGCGAATCTTGAGGAGCATTCATATAGAAAACTTTCAAAATTAAATTTGGGATCATACAAACTCCAATTTCAGCAAACTTATCGTCAAACCGAACAACTCGACGAGAAGAACCCAACGACGCCAAAATCAGTCCAATCCAAACTCAATTGGGACCAAATCAAAGGACCGAAGCATTTATGAAAGCTTCAAAACAGTAATTGGATGAACAAAGTATATTCAAATATGACATGTTTATAATCAAATCAAGCAGCTTGACAAGATAAATCTAACGAGTCCAAGATCGTTTACTTCTAACACCATTAAAATATTTAAATGCTTAACAAATGTTTTATGCTTGAGGGAATCAATTTGAGTCGTCTGATTGAGTTTTCTGAATGCACTCTAAATCTTCTCCATATTTATGGAGCATACAAAACTAAAAAAATTATAAATGGACCCTCACTCTCTATATCGGGGGGGGTGGGGGGGTTGGAGGCTTATAGACTTTAAGCTCGAGACTCAAGAGAGCTCTGAGTCATAAAAAATCCTGAAGCTCCACCCTGGCACCACCACCAGTGAACCCTCGCTACTAGACCTCTACCCAATAATTGACATCGAACCTCCATCAGGCGGCCACCTCAAGGCCTTTGCCTAACCTCCATCACCCACAATCTATGGTCTCTCCTACCACCATTGCCTATCGACTATGATCCCTCTAACCTCCATCCCCTAACTACGGTCTCTCTGACCTCTAGAATTACCAAACAATGACCTCATACGCCCAACTACAATCCTTCTGACATCCGGCGCCCAACTACGGCCCCTCTAGCTATCGTCGCTTGTTGATTATGGTCCTTTCGACCTCCATCTCCCGCCGACTATGATCCATCCAACCATCATTACATGCTGACTATGGTCCATTCGATCTTTGTCACCCGACAACGGTCCCCTCTGCCTCATTCGCCCGACTACGATCCCTCCAACCTCAGTCGCCCGACTACAATCCAATCGACCAAACGAACAGGCCAACGTTATTTTGAGAACAACTCTCATGCCACTGAATTCTTCCAACTCCAACCATGTTATGCTCAATATGATATATATTTGCTACATTGAGACAAGGCCTTCCCTCGAGGAAGAGCATCATTTGTAATTAACTGTAAATACTAGTATAATCATTTTAACTAGGTCAGACCCCTTGGTTTTTTTTTTTGTTTTTCAAAGTTTTTCACGTAAAAATGTGAGTATCTATTTTGACTTTTGCACTTCTCTCACTTATCTGTATGCGTGTTGAATCTTCGTACAAAATTAGAACGTTAAATTCTAGATCTTTCTACCGATGTAAATGCTCTGACACGTAACAATAATGATAATATTGAACAAATAGTTAGATGAATAGCTAAAATATCAATTCTTATTATTCATAAAATATTTGAAGTAGTCGTATGAGAATTAAATCAAATATAATAAAATATTATGAATTTGTTTATATTTACTTATATGACTACTCTTAATCTCATCTCATTTGGAAAATCAACTTCTGATGTTTCCCATCCATCATCATTTAATGCTTAACAAGGAATAAGATTTGACATTTATAAACTATTGGCATCGAATTTATGTCTTTCTAATCACTCAGCTTCTCTTCCTAAAAGGAGAATAGCAAAGTTAACCATAAATTGCTGCCAAACTTTAGATGTTTCACATTAAATTTTGTTTGATACCTATAAATGTTTGATGTATTAGACTTGTCTTTTTGGTCGTTTAATCTCCCATACCTATCAAGAGTGTGGCATAGTAAACCTCCCATCATTGCCCAACTTTTGATGTCCTTGATAATTTCCATTTGGTTGCTACCAATAACTAATATATGATTTACATTAGTCATTGATGTTTTATACCCATTTTATCAATCGATTTTTCTTGCCGTTATAAGAGAAAAAATCAAGTTGATCATTCATAAACTTACGTTTCGTTTGGGACGAATTTTTTACTATTTTTAAAGCAATTTTTTGGGACATTTAGGCCATTTAAGGCAAACTCACACACACAACACATACAAAAAAACTCGAATCCAAGACCTCTTTGTTGGAAACATAAGCTCTCAACCAACAGGCCAAGGTGAGATGTGTTTGAAGCAGTTTTCAAGTGCAAAAATTAAAATTTTTGTACTCCAAAACTGCTTTAAAAAGCAATAAGAAAACCGCCCCAAACAAAACCTTAAACATTTTAGAACTCCTATTTGAGCTTAGGAGTCTTCAAATATTACTATCTATCTTAACCTTTATGGTATTAACTCAAATTAATATAATTATTTTAATTAAAAATAAACATCATGGGTATTTAATATAATTATTTTAATTAAAAATAATTTAATATTCTAGTCTTCAAGCATTCACATCGATAAATATTAAATTATTTTTACGGCTTTGAACTTCCGTGTATATCTCTTGTTCGCTCTGGCTCGGCTAGGCACGTAGGCACGAAGGCTGAAGCAGAGAACGGAGAGAAACAAAGAAAGCATGTCTTCTTCTCCTCTGCTTGTCAAGATAGAAAAGGAAGATAACTATAGTAGTGGTCATGGATGGCTGTCGAAGCTTGTGGATGTGGAAGAGGCTAAGGTTCAGATTGGCTTCTCGGTGCCCATGATTCTTGCAAACATGTCTTTTTACGGCATTCCTTTGGTCTCTGTTATGTTCGCCGGCCATCTCGGCGACATAGAGCTCGCCGGCGCCACCCTCGGCAACTCCTGGTTCACAGTCACTGGCATCGCCCTCATGGTATGATCTGATTAATTACCATCTCTTTTTTTCTTTTTTAAACCCCTAAATATTTTTTTCTGTGCAATCAGGAATCTATTCTTCTTAAGATTATTTTTGGTTTAGATTTCTTAAAAAAAAAATCAATTATAAGTTCAGTTCGAATAAGGCATGAAGCATTTGAAGAATCCTCTGATCTATATTTTTTCTGTCAATCTCGTACTCTTTTCAATATTAAATGTAAAAAAGAGTTATTTTAATTTTTTTTAATTATAATCTTAATGGTAGCTAGAAACCAAGGAGGAAACGGTTGGAAAGTAAAAGCTCTTTAATATTTTATTAGCAGCTTAGATTGGCCTGTTGCCAGTGGTTGAAGCTAGGGGACGGATCAGATTCGGGTCGAACCTGAGTTGACCCGACTCTAAATGGGTTAACCTGAATCCGACTCCGGTTTCACAAACGAGTCAGGATTTTTAACCCAGACCTGACTTGTGTGGGTTACCAGGTTGATCCGACCCGACCCGCGACCCGTTTGCAAAATGCAAACCTGAAGGCTGCCAGGCTGGGCGGCATAGCGGATGGCGCGACAGGCATGGTGGGCAAGGGCAAGACCAGCGTGAAGCAAGGCCAGCGGGCGGGTGTGACTGCGGCATGTGTGTGAGGTCTGCAAGAACCAGCTTGACAACAGTATGCAGGTGTGAGGGCCAGCCGCCAGCTTGTGCGTGCAGGGTGACCGAACATCCGGGCGAGGCCAGGGCCAACTCGAGTGAAGCTCATGCGGGTTGGGACCACGGGTGTGAGGGCCAGTCACCAGCTGACACTACGCGGGCTTACGTGGACGTGGCGTGGACGTGACATGGACGTGACGTGGGTTTGAGGGCCAGCCGCCAGCGGAACACAGAGGTCGGAGGGATTAAGCGGACGCAACAGAGGTCAAACCTGGGTTGATTTCAGGTTGTCGGGTTAACCTGAACCCGACACGATTTTTTAAACTTTGGTCATTTTTTAATCTTTATTTATTAGATTTAGATAAGAATTTGACTTTTAACCGGACACAATGGCGAAAAAGGATTCATGTAGCTGACCCCACGTAGTGGGACAAAGGCTTGATGTTGTTGTTGTTGCTGTTGTTGGTCATTGTTTGTAATGATTTATAAACATGATTATTTTACTCTTACTAATAAACATTCAAATTTATTTTTTATCTTCACAAAATAACTTGTTCAAAGTATTTAAGTTACAAATAGAACATTCAAATAATCTCAAAATCTACATAGTGTGGAGGCAAAATACCGGCAACAAAAATCTCCAAATCATCTTATGTGATTGAAACTCAATAGTTATTATAACCTTTTCCATTCAAAGCATAGAGTTGGTGAGGTTTAATTTTTTTATTATTAACCTTGATGAAGAACTAATTATGAAGTTGTGCACCATTATTATTGTGCTTCTTTTTCTTATTCTCTTCCTTTATTTGCAGGTTGGTTTGAGTGGAGCTCTTGAGACGCTCTGTGGTCAAGGATATGGAGCAAGATCATACAACTTATTAGGAATATATATGCAGTCATCAGCCATGATATCTATAATCTTTTCTATTATTGTATCCATCTTATGGTACTATACAGAGCCTGTGTTAATTTTTCTGCATCAAGAACCTCAGGTGGCAAAATTAGCAGCTCTGTATGTTAAGTACTTGATTCCTGGGCTCTTTGCCTATGGATTGATTCAATGTATCTTGAGATTTTGCCAAACACAATCAGTGGTGATACCTTTGGTTCTGTTTTCAATTGTTCCATTGATCCTTCATGTTGGTCTTACGTACTTTTTGGCTAATGTCATTGGCTTTGGATTCAAGGGAACTTCTATTTCTGCGTCTATCTCTTTCTGGGTATCATTTCTTATGTTGGCCATTTATGTTAAGTTCTCCAGTAATTTCAATTTTACTTGGGGAGGATTTTCAGTGGACGCATTTCAGCATGTAATACCTACCCTTAAGTTGGCTATTCCTTCAGCTGTAATGGTTTGGTATGTTATATGTTTGACTTTAATGTTTCTATTTTAGTTTTTAAGGCTTGTATATTTGATTTTGTGTTCTATACTTGATATTTTCAAAGAAAATTTTGATCTTTTTTACTTCTGAATGTTCATTTTCCTTGATGAGTAATTTAGAAGATGTTAGTGGGTGGGTTGCTTTACTAATGTCTGATAAAAATTTTATCCAATGAGTTAAGGTCAACCAGTAGGCTATATCTAGAACAAAAGAAAATATCATTTGTGTCAGGTAGAAGGAATTAAGAGCTCATGTGATTGCTATAAATAGAAAAAACAGAAAACATTTTGAAAAATAATTATTTCATTTTCACCCATTTTGAGTTCCAATTCAAAATCATCACTTTTGATGGAGGGTTTTAAAAGTTTGTGATGCTTGAAATCAATATTGCTGACTAATTATATCCAATCAAATAATAGATTTAACAAATCCCATCATTTTTCTAAACATTATTTTTAACATCAAATAACCTAATGAACCATAAACACAATGCTCTCTTTTGTCTCAACATAATTTAAAACCTAGATTGATGAAGTTAAAATTATATTTCTTCAATATATTAAAATATGTCTCATGTTTCATTTCAAGTCTTCCATGATGATTCCTGGCATTTTTCTTGAGCTAGCATGAATACTTAATTGATCACTGGTACTATTTTGTATTAAATGGACACTTAGCTCTAGCATAACATGTTTATATATCTATGTTAATTTTGGGCACTTTAAGCTTTTTTCTACGACACTTAGGATTCGTTTGGGACGGCTTTTTTACTGCTTCTTAAATTATTTTTAGTAAAAAATTTACTTGAAAGTTATTTTTAGAAGCAGGGAAAAAATTGTCTCAAATGAAGCTTTACATCAAGGTAAGCCAATAAAACTAATTATTTTTGTTGACTTCAATTCATGATTAGCTTCTTTGAATTACCTGCCAATCCATTATGTTAGATCATGGACTTTTAGCTCACTATTTTAATATCTAATATCATTCTTCCTATAGTTTTGAGTATTGGGTTTTTGAGTTTTTGGTGTTGCTTGCTGGATTGATGCCAGACTCAGAAAGAAGCACTTCACTTATTGCAATGTGGTAAGATCTCCTACTCTAATTATTTTTTTACTGAGTTTACAATAGATTTGTCATCAGCTTTGTTCATAAACTAAGAGTTCTATTAAAACAGTGTAAACACAGAGTCCATCACATATATGATCACATATGGATTTAGTGCAGCTGTAAGGTACAATGATCTAATTCAGGCTTTGTGTGGAACGGCTTTATTACTGTTTTTTAAAGCAACTTTTTAAATCAAAAATTTTAATTTTATACTAGAATGTTGCTTTAAAAAGCAATAAGAAAGTTGTCCCAAACGAAACCTCAGATTCCTTATATCCACTATACTTTCAGCGTTATCCTTCACTGTAATCTGACTAATGACCTTGTAACAGCACTCGAGTTTCAAATGAGATCGGCTCTGGAAACATAAAGAAAGCCAAAAATGCGGTGGCGGTAACACTGAAGCTTTCAGTATTTCTTGCCACGGCTGTAGTTCTATTACTAAATGTAGGCCACGATCTCTGGGCGAGCTTCTTCAGTACAAACAGTGAGATCATTAGGCAGTTTGGTTACTTGACACCACTGCTTACCATGTCTGTATTATTTGATTCAGCACAAGGAGTTTTATCAGGTACTGTTCTTAGATGTTGAGTTGCTTCCGAAGTTTCAAGTGCTAATTTGCTATTAATTTTCCAACAATTCATTCTGTGCTGTAGATTATATCAATATGTACAAATAGGATGGTGATAAAATAATACATCAGCATAATGATCATATACCATATATAGGCAGACTGAGAAGGGGATTATGACTTCGTTTGGGATGACTTTCTTATTGCTTCTTAAAGCAAATTTTTTGTACTAAAAGGCTGCTTTAAGAAACAATAAGAAAGCCATCCCAAACGAAGGCTATATTTGTGCTTACATAGTTACCAAAGCCCTACATGGGGTCCTGGTTGGGTACCCATCGGGTACCATGCTTTACTCGGACGGGCTTCTCTCACTCACACCCACCCATGGTGACTTTCGGGATGCCGTACCCACCTATACCCACCCACTTTCCATGCTTTTGAACGCAGTCTGCCACTGACTGATGGTCTTGAGGCTTGATGCCCTTTGCTCTGATTGCAAACTTTCAAGCCGCATATCAGAATTTATTGTAGTTGCGGCGTGGTTAAGTGATGCACACTACGTAGTGAGGATTGCAGTAATATAAGATATACAATAATTATCAATGTAAATCGATTTATCCTCCGATATTGAGTACCCACTCATATCCACCCACAAGGCCATGGGCGTACCCATACCCAATGCCCATACCAATGGGTATGGGTGGGTACATGGGTGGGTGTTGGTATGGGTACCCCATACAGGGCTCTGATAGTTATATATAATATAACTTTTCTGACATAATTTTTTTCCCTATTTTTAATATTTTTTGTTATGGAACACTAATATTTAGTGTCTATTTCCTAGTTAACATGACTTATATTTTCATTCTTGTAATCACTGAATTTTAAATAGGAGTTGCAAGAGGCTGTGGTTGGCAGCACTTGGCAGCATGGACCAATTTAGTGGCCTTCTACCTGATTGGCTTGCCATTAGCTTGTCTATTTGGTTTCAAGATGAAATTATATGGCAAGGTAAAAAAAAAAAAATCTCTCTTTTTCTGTCTCAATCTTACATACAAAAATACAAAATTTGCTTGAGGAACTTACTAAGAAATACAACATAAATGTAGGGGTTATGGATTGGATTGATCTGTGGGCTCTTTTTTCAAGCCTCAACACTTCTTGTGATCACTCTTCGCACAAAGTGGGCAAGATGGGACCCCTCTGTGAAGAACAGAGAAAGCAATGTGCTTGTGTAATTGTAGTTGCTATAAGGATTATAGAAGCTGAAGAAAACCAGGACAGCAAGTGGTTTTAAACCATTATTTTGAACCACAAAAGTAAATTTTCCTTTTCAAATCTTAGGAAAACACCCTTCAGATTGTAATTTATTAAATAATGTTAGTCTTAAATTCCACTGTCTTGTTTCTGATTTTGATGCTCTTTAACAGCTTTCATTTTTAAGTTGGTCTGATGGTGTTCTTGATATACTGCTTGTTCCAGAATATATACCAAAGAACTCGGACTACCATATGCTATCTCTTAACACTCAGTTATTTGTTCCATCATTAACAATCTTTTTGGTTTCGCCGGTTATCACTATCCAACCCGGAGACTCGAATTAATGAGACGGGAACAGATGATTGAATGGTTAATTAAATTTTTGTTTGCTAAAACTATCCCCTATAAAAATTTAGGACGAGCCACTAAAACCTTAAAATAATTTGAAATAAATTTATATAAATACCTTTCATTTGGAGCGTATCGCCTATGGACACATTTTCACCGTCAGACCGTCTGTTACCGTCTCATTAATTCGAGTCTCCAGGCCAGGCCGTGACACTAGTAATCGAAGTTGATGCAAAGGGGAAATTAACAAATTACTCATCATGTTATTAAAAAATTATTATCAAACCATTATGTGACTTGTCTGTTCAAAAAATGTGCTGCCACACATCTTCATGCTGTGTGATCTTATTAAAATTTAAGAATATATGTTTACTCATCATGTTAATATATATATAGAATATAAAATGCAATTTTGATAACAATAAGATTTAATTTCAAGATAATAACAAAAATTTTAAATATTTTTATTCAACTTAATCATAATTCAATCACTCTTATTAATTCATTATTAGAAATTGCATATTGCCTGATTGCTTCTTATCAAGGCAAATATTTATATTTATTTTTTAATTAATTTATCAGCTATTAATGAATCTATATATTCATTTTGAACCAATTTTTTTCTTATTTCTCTAATTCGATGGACAATTTATTAGTACTTAGTCATGTTATATGATTATAAGAAAACTTGTTTGTGATTTATTTATTATCTCATTTAATTAGTGTAAAATAGTTATATGCTAATTTCAAAATTTTTAAATCGCTTAATAATTTAGATTTAGGCTTCGTTGGAATGATTTTCTTAGTGCTTCTTAAACCAGCTTTTTAGTACAAATTTTTTAATTTTTGTAGTTGAAAGCTTTTTTAAGAAGCAGTAAGAAAGTTGTCTCAATTAAGTCATAAAAATCTTTTTGTTAATTTGAGAAGTCAACACTTGTTTTAATTTTTAGTTTGTTCATTAACTTATTTAAATGTTCCTTCCATTAAATTAGGCAAACTAAGAAATATAAACTTTTAAATAAGCTAATTACTAAAATATGTGAAAAATCAGCTTTAGCTTAACACTAATATGAATAACTTATGTTATAACCAAATCAAGTCCAATTTACGAAATAGTTGGCCTGACTCGGCTTTACTATAGCCCTACCTCCAATCAAAGATCTTTAGTGAGACCTTCACACTGTTCTTCTTTTGCTCTCGCCCATCAACTTCTATATAATACCACTCTCTTGAACATCTACATAACATCTTAACTTATATCAACATGCAAAACTATACAAGTACCATAACATTCTTTCAATTGAAATCCGAGCTAAAACATACTTAACAACATAAAGATGATAAATTTTGAAAGACTCAATCACCTACTAGGAAACATCTCATCTATATATATAAGATTCATTAACTATTATAAGAAGGACTATATCCAATTTTTTTTAATTGGTAGTCAAACATTGGCTTGGTCGCATTAAAGATAATCGCCTTAAATGGTTTGGTCATATAAAATATCAGTCTTTCAATGACCTGATTAGGATAGTAGAGATGTTTTAGATCTGACCTATGTTGTCGTCTGTGGAGGGGCCTCTTCTTGCTTACTATGTTGATGTCTGTTTTCTTGTGGACTACTTATGCTTGCTATGGTGTCGTTTGTGGATTGTGCTAGTTGCGGGTTCTGCTCTTCTGGATGGTTGCCCCTTTTGTGTTTTTCTTATTTTCTTTTAATTTTGGTATATTGTAAAAAGTAGGACCATTGGCTCGTAGGTTTTGCTTCGAAGGCTGTATTTTTAGAGAGCTTTGTGGTTCTTTAAGGATTTGCATTTTTTTTATTGAATGCGTAGGCCCCTCTGCAAGTTTTTTTCCCAAAAACAATCTGACCTATGTTAAGAATGTAGTTGTAGACCTAAAAGACTTGATTAAAAATTATTAAAAAAAATAGATTTTTTTATTAGATTTAAATGAGAATTTAACTTTTAATAGCTGACCCTACGTAGCGGGATAAAGCTTGATGTTGTTGTTGTTGGTAGTCAAACATTGATTAGTTTTTTTTTTTTTTTTTGAGACGAGAAAGCATTATCCTTAGGCTAGTGAAAACTCCGGTCGACCTACCATGCAACCCACACCAATTATACGGTCAACACTTAAGGCTTTCACTGCTTGTCAAGGGATTCGAACCAGGGACTTGAGCTTTGCCCAACCGGCTCTTTACCACCCGGACAAACAACGATGGGTAAGATTGACTAGTTTAAATTGATGTTTCTTTTCCACAATTTAATAAGTTCAGCCCCTTCAACACGTCAAAGCATTGAGGTGCATAATCAAGGGATGGCAGTCGAACCCCATTAATATAAATATTATTACATTGAAATATATGACATACAACCACCTATACAATAATTTTTTATATTAAATTTCCATTCGGTAATATTTTTTATTGCTTTACATTTAAAGTTAAAAGGATGTTTTGCGTCATTTTTTATTTTTATTTTAAAAAATATTTGGTTGATACTTAAAATACTAAAAATAATATTTAGGCGTTTTCAAAAATTTTAAATAAAAATTAAACCGGCCACAACACGCCATAGTTAGCGGTCATCGTCACCACTAGCAACCAAACAATGCCTTCATCAGAAGCTATCGCTACCAGTCATTACCATTTTATACAATATTCATAAGAAAAAAATAAACTTTTTAAAAATACAATTATAATTTTATTTTATATTAAAATAATAATAATAATAATAACAACTTATCTTAAATAGCTCCTTACAATAGCAATAACAACATCAAGACTTAAATTCACTCCATGGGTCGGCTACATGAATCTTTTATTATTTTTTTTCATTTGTGTTTTATTAAGAGTCAAATTCTCATTTAAATCTAATAAAAACAGAGCATTTATAATACTTTATAACTAATTTTTTTTAGGTCTATCTTCATCTTTTTTAACATGGGACAAATCTAATGCGTCTACTCTCCTAATCGGGCCATCAGAAGGCTGGCGTTTTGTAGTCAAACCATCTAAACAGGTTATCTCTGATTTTATCTGCCACTTGAGCTACTCCAATCTTTTCACATATATACTTATTTCGTACTTTGTCTTTGATAAAAAAGCTACTCATCCACCCGAGCATCAGAATGATCTTAAATAGCTCCTTAATAATCAAAATTTTAATGCATAGAAGAACCCCAATAATAATATAATGGCATTAATCACAGCTGAATTTAGATAAATCTTAACATAGCACAGCCAAATGATTGGGGCTTTGACATAATGATTCTCAAGTGGGTTAGCCATAGTGTCATTTTCGTTTGGTGCAACTGAAACAGCATTTGGGACGCCAACAAATTTAATTTAAAGTCAAATCCGCACTTGAAGCAATCTGATTTATCCAACTAATATAATTATATAGGATTTTGATAAAAGCTCGTTGTTTCCTCAACAAATAACAACTTGCATGCACTATTGATAAGAAGAAATTATTCTGTGTAGAGGTTAGATGCAGCTCTATCTCCGAAGACAAATCAGGTGCAGCACATCAACAATAACGAGCCGTTGTACAGAGCAAATGGGTAATATGACGCATTTTGGTTGGTCTACAGATGACGTTTGGTGTCTGCGCAAAATAATTAATCTTTGATAAGAGTTCGTAATTAAAAAAATTATTTGATATCTTCAATAAAAAAAATGAAAATTAGACATTTGACTTCAAACATTGTAAGTTATCCCATTTTTCTTATTGCCGTGGGATTTTTTTTTTTTAAATAAAAAATTCTTGAATGGCTTCATGCTCATGGAGGAGGGAAATTATTGGGTTCAGGCACTGGACGACGTCCAAAGCCCAATGAAAATGCGCCAAATCATCCCCTACTTGGTACTGAGCTCTCTATGAGCTCGGTACTCCACAGTACCGAGTTCAATATTACTCGGTACTCTGAAGTACCGAACGGTAACCTGTATCTGGTGTCCGAACCCAACAATCTCTCAATGTAGGAGGCTATGTAGGGTTTGCCTAACCTAGTTCAAGCATTGAAGAACAAACTTAGGAGTTTGTAAAGGGATTCAAGTTGATATGAGGCAAAAAGTTTTATTTATGAGTGATTGAAAGAGGTAACTGTCTTGACCAAAGCTCTTAAATTTCGTTTAGAACTCTGAAGGTCATAGGCGTAGGTTAGAAATTTAGTATATAAGAATTGAGCTCCTCTGTCAGTTTATTGATGTGTTAGAGAATGTGCATCATCTATGGCCAGCTATTAATGATTGAGGACACATGTCGCCATGAATGGAAGAGCATGGAGTTATTAGATTTGGCCTTATGTGGAAGATAAACCAACTATTTAACTAGGATTTAATTTTGGTTTGACTGAGTATTTGATCTTTGCCTTATGTGGGACTTAGGTGGTTGTCTAAGGTCTAGGATTTTGAAGGAGTTAAATGGTCTAACCTAGGATCCTTTAGGACCATAAGATTTAACCTAAATGATTAAGATTTCGTTTGAGACAGCTTTCTTATTGTTTCTTAAAGCAGTTTTTTAGTAAAAAAAAATAATTTTTATACTAAAAAATCTGCTTTAAGAAGTAGTAAGAGAGTTGTCCCAAACAAAGTGTAAGTTTGGCCAAGGATAATTGATTTTAACCAAGGGTTAACTATTGGACCTAGGCAGGTCCCCTATGATCTTTGGTGATGGGGAGGGGTCCTACATTCCTTAAGATAGTGCAAATCTAGCTAGGTTAGCCTTGGATCTTCTCAATATTAAGAGATTTATTGGTCTTCACAGAGCGGTATTTCTCATTTTTGCAAAGCAATACCTAGCAAATACCGAGCAATACCGAGAAAATCGCGAACATAGCATTCTCGGGTTCCGCTCCGGGTCAAGTTGTCGGGCCGCGCGGTTTAGAGTAAGAGCACGTGGCGACATGTTATTGGCAGCCGAACGTAGCTCTAGTCCGATCAGAGGACGTAATAATTGTTCCAAACAAAGTGTAAGTTTGGCCAAGGATAATTGGTTTTAACCATGGGTTAAATATTGGACCCAGGTGGGTCCCCTATGATCTTGAGTGATGTGGAGGGGTCCCACATTCCCTAAGATAGTGCAAATCTTGCTAGGTTAGCCTTGGATCTTCTCAATATTAAGAGATTGGGTTACATGACCTCTACAGTTGATTAGGAGATCAAAGTTGAGTGAATCTGAACATTGGGTTAGGTTTGACTAATTAGATTTTGGTCAGCTTTGAGTTAGATTTAGAGGTTCTAGCACTTGTTTGGATCATCCCTAGGTTAACCTACATGTGGTATTTTAGCCAGGTTGGTAGAAAGGTAAAGATCCATAACATGAATATATAATAATTGAAATGTATGATCTCTAAATATGTTTAAATTTTTTTATTTAAAAATAAAAAATATGCAAACATTTTTTGTTTTTAAATAATAATTATATGTTATTACTTATTTAAATGCATGCAATTATATAATGCATGAGAATAACAAGCATACATGTCAACGTGATGAATATTTTGTTATTAAAAGCAAGTAATCTATTTAATATTGAAATTTTAAATTTTCAATATTAAATAAATTACAATAACAATCCAGATAAATATAAAATGTCTACACTTTTTATTTTATAATACAAATGAGTTTAAAGTTAATAAAATTTTTATACTCATTTAATACCAAATGGACATTAAATAAATAAATTAAGTTTTGTTTTTTATTTTTTTAAAAAATGTTGTTTTAATTCCATAAAACATTCTCTAAACTTAATATACAAATTTTATATTTTTTTTTCAAATAACATATTTTAAAGAAAATTAATGAAACAAAATTTATAATATTTGGTTTTTTTTTTCAATAAATTTTATAATTTTTTTTGTATTTATTTAAATAGATTGTACAACCTACAAATTAACTAGAGTGAGCTTGCTTGAGTAATAGATAAGGATTAGGTTAGTTGGACTATAAGCCCCTATATTGCATAGGATCGACGTATTTAGCATGAAAGAAAGCATTAGATATAAATATGAAACATTGGATCTTGAATTCAAGATTCCAATGAACATTGTATCATCTTCCTAGCTATTTTACCTAGGGCTAGGGTGGTCAAAACTTTTGTAGCTTTTATGTTGCATGCGAGTTAGCATGGAGGGTGGTTATGGTTAGAGTTAAATGAGCAAGACTGAGGTTTGCCTTGCAGGAGCTTCGCTAAGATAAGAGGCGGCACAACCATCAATTAATAAAAACATGTCAATTATATCTTTTTTATTTTAATAGAATATAATTAAGCTCTTGATATAAAATATAAATAGGATATAGATGTTCATGAGGAGCTTCTTTAAGATTTGTCTATCCTAGGCTAAGTATTCTTGGGCAAACCTAAGGAATTTCTACAAATTTTTTTTGCTGTTAGAAGGCAAAAAACCCACCTTTCAATGATTGAACAGGAAAAGACTATTTTATACTCTTTCATTTTGTTTCAATTCATAGTGGCCAAAACAACTTGTGTACAAAGCTTTTAGGCCCAAAATCAAGTTGTTAATAATGAAGCTCTTATGTGTCTCCCAACTCTATTGGTTTAGCCTATGAGGGGATAAGATTGTCTATGAGAGTGTAAAACTAGCTAGATGCTAAAGATTGATGACACATGTATTCATGTAAGAAAGAGGTGTGAGTTGTTATATTTAGCCTTAAATGAAATATAAGTAAAGAGTTTGACTAGGATTTATTTGGGTTCTTCCAATCATTTAAGCTTTGCCTTAAGCGGTATCTTGAGGGTTAGGTGATTGTTTAGAGTATAGTGTTCCTAATAGGTGAAATGGCCTAGCTTAGGGAAAAAAAAAAAAAAAACTAATGAACTTATGTGGATACCTTATGATCTAATGTGATTTGGATAGGTCCCACACTTTTCATGGTGGTTCACATATATCTAAATTAGCCTAAAGTCAGCTTATTGTTAAGATATTGAGCTACATTGACCACTAGGGTTGACATGGAGATTGTTGTTGATTAGATGTGACCCAGCATTAATTTGATCAATAGATCTTGATAGGGTATGAGCCAAGTTTAGAGGTTTTAGAATCTATATTGGTCATCCTTATGTTAACTTATATTTGACATTCACACTAGGTTGATCATAATGCAATCTTAAATCCAATGTCAATTAAGGTCAGCTTAGGTTATAAGTGATCGGCCTATGTCTCCCTAATGTAAATGTGATGTTATAGATGGTCTAATCATATCATTAACCTTATTATTTGTACACCATCATAAGTAATTTGTGAACATAAGATAAAAAAAATTTCATTAAAAAATCTTTTTGGACATATTTCTTTAAGAAGAAATAATGGAGGTACTATTCCAATTAAGCATATTATATGTCCCATAATGTTAAATTTACTTTTTGAAATAAGACAAATTAGACAATTTCTATAACTCATATTGCCTTCATTTATAATAATTCCGAATATCTTTACCTCATCATTCATATTTAATGTATTTAAAATATATCATACAAAATATATAAATATTTTAATAAATTAAAATTTTTATGTAACCAAATAACAACTACATTTTAAAATCTTATACATTATAATGCACCTAATCCGTCGACCCACGTGCCAACCTGAGTCTAGCACAATTCTCCACTCCCAATAGCTCTCCCTCTCTCTTAAATATTCCGACGTTGAAGGGGAAGCCGATGATAACCCCGCGAAGCCTCTACCTGCGAATCCATCGCTTCCCGGCCGACGGCGAGCGCCTTTTGGGCGAGCAGTCGCAGTCCGTTGAACTATCCCTTTCTTTTCTCCTAATCCCACCTTTTCAATTTCCGGAGTTGGTTGATAGTTGACTCCATCCTAAGCAATCCCCAACCTCTCTATTTCCCTTGCTTTTTTTTTTATCTTTCAATTTATCTATCGATAGTTGATTTCTTCTAAGGCATCGCAGTTGGTGGATTGATTCGTCTCTCATGTTAAGAGCGAGAAATCCTCACTCCTGAGGCTTACAACTGCCGGGAGGAATGACCTTGTTTAGAAGGAGATTTGGGACTCACTATGGCGTCTTTGCGGTTCTATGGTTGATCCTCACATGTGTGCGAGAGGCCGCAGCGCTGCGGCCGATCAGGGACAGGGGCCCCTCTGCTTCGACGTCATGGGGTGATGAGGTATTGTGTTGGTTCTCTTTCTCCTTCTCTGTTTATCTGTATTGAATTTCTTATGCGATTTTGGGTTCAGTTGGAGGATGGGGCGGGGGTGGGAAGTTGTCTACCAGTCTTTATGAATGCCGGGGGTAATTTAAAACAATTTAGGGGGCGAGGGTTTAGCTTGCTGCGCTTATTTATTGACTGATTACTGATCGGAGGACAATGACTTGGCTGGTTTCAACTTTGCCGAGCTTGTTATAAACTGGTATGGCGAATCTTGTGCACTAGACTATTAAAATTTCATGGTATTGAGGGAATGCAAGAGGCTGGACTTAAACTGGAAAACAAAAGGCGGTCTTTTTACAATGATTTCAAAGAGCGCCTTCTGTTTTCTGTTATTTATCATTTTCTCTCTTCTTTTTTTTTTTTTGCATGTCATGTAATTAACCAAAAACAAAATTTCATTGTGTGTGTTTGTTGGGGGAGGGAGGACTTATTTGTTTTCATACTTGTTCACTTTTGTTTTCACTTTCATTTTAATTTCTGAAGAAATTATTAGGAACTTTCCTGTATGGCAACTTACTTATCTCGAGCTTATTGGTTCTTTCTTTTTTTTGGGAACAATTTTGTTCTTTCTTTTATTATCTTGTATTTTAGTATCTGAAGTAAGGTGATATTGATTATTGCACTGTTACTGGTGATGATTTTGATTTCTTTTCTTTGTTATTCATGTAATGCTTTGCATTGCTTTACAAAATTCTGATAACCTCTTGCGTAGCATGCTGAGGTGAAAGAATATGTTGTACCTTTATTCAAGCACCTTTGTGTGAATTTTCTATCTAGCTAAAATTTAACAGTTTGGGAACGTTGTGTTGTAACCTTGCTTTTGTTTTAGGCTTATTCTGTGTGGTTTTTTCATTGATTTATTGATGTTTTTGGTTAATTTTATAACAACTATCATGAATATATGTTAAATAATGAACTATGAACTTCTAGGATTTGTTTGGAGTTGGAGCATCATAGTGTTTGATTAATGTGGTTTGTCAACAATAATCTATTGAACCTTTTGAATGAGAGTTAAATAAAATATTTTTCACATGCAATTCAGAATTGTCCAGTACTCACAATCCTTATCATTGGGAGCATATTGAGTGTTTTTGAAAATCTCCTCTTTGTAGTTCTGTTATTTAACCTAAAAGAGATGATCTTACAAAGCATTTTGAAACTACGGTCATCCTATAGCGCATGAAGCAGGCATTTTAGCATTAAACTTCTAGTTTGCTCTGAAACTTAAATTATCAAGATTCTTAGAACGTAAAAGTTACTTTAAAGATAAATTATGTAACTTATTTTGGATATATTTCTCCCTTTTGTTTTATTGATCCTGAGTTAGTTTATTTTCCAGCATCTCTCCAAAATCTGATGGTGCTATAAGTGCCAAATCTGTCCTATTTGTATAATCTGTTGAGAATGTTTAGGATATATATTAGTTATGTTAAAACTTTTATCTAATCCATTTTTATTATTTGACACTTAAATAATGTACTTTTTGTTATTAGATATTGCGTTATTTGCCTCTCATTTCTTACAATTTGCAATATATTTTAGTTTCTCATCTCATTACATTAATAATTTTTTTCATTGAATTTAGCTATCATTAATTGTAATAAATGAAAACTTTCTGTATTGGTTTTGCTTTAAGATAACTTGTTCTCTGTATGAATAAACGAGTTCAAAATTTTTAGTTGTTTGATTAAAGCTTGCTTGCGCTTGCAGAGGATATTTCTTAGAAGAGGTGGCAACGACCCTACTGCTTACTCAAGATGGAATATTACCGGAACATACAGAGGTTAGTGAAGAATTGAAATAAGATGCATTTGCGTTTCTTTTACTGTTATATTTCAATTCAGTAAGAAGCCAAACTTACTGCATTCAGCCTACTTCAGGGTGAGATAAAAGAGGAAAGCATGAAACATAAGGGGGTTAATAAGAGAGAAAAGCTAGGGGGAAGATGATAATATAGGATATTTTGGAGGAGGAATTATAAGACAGCAATGTGACTGGGGCGAGATGATTGGGTAGAAATGGCATGTTTTCCCTAGTAATCGAATTATTTGTCAATTCTTAGACAAATGGCTAATGTACCTGAGGAAAAATGCTAAATAATATTATTACAACGTATTAATGAGGCTATGCAACCATGATAGTCTTAGGCGCTGACTGAGCCTTGAGATAGCTTGATGTTATTTATACTCATATTTGTTCTTATTAGATAGCATAGGGTCACATTTGAAGTCTTTCAATCAAGATTATGAAAATTGAACTGGACATTGATTCGGAAGGAGAGGATCAATATTCAAAGGTTCGATTAACTGGGTTGAATCGGATGATGTAATAAATATTAAAATTATTTTAATTTGACTTTAAATAACATAATAATTATATAAATATATGATAAAAAATAAAAAGAGGTTTATTATGAAATATACATCATACTCAAGAAATATCTCTAATAATTTTAAATTTTAACACTTCCAATATTTAAGTTACTAGTCTCTTCTTTTGCTGCCATTAACAAAATTTCAAACGATCATTTGAAATATTCTCTATTTTCTTGCTTTACAAAATTTATGATCTAAAAATGAAATGAAGATGAGAAAATTAATATAAACTAAAAAGATATATGATTAAATATAAGTTGATGTAAAATAATATTTGATACCCAATTGCATAAATATATTGCAGTTTATAGTATACATTATTTAATATTGATAAAATTGCTCATAATTTAAAACATCAATGATTCAGCATACACCATTAGTTTATAATCTCTATCATATGTATAGTATCAACCATAAAAATAAGTAAAAAAACTGTAGTCTAAGATCAAGTATATGTAAGATTCATCCCCAAAAGCTTTCAATTCATCATGTTCAAGAATTACATTCCTAGCACCACAACATTCATATTTATCTACAAATCAAATATGCAAATTAAGTTATTTTTTTATCCAAGTTATAAATTTAAATATCATCCAAACCTTCAATGAGTTCAATTTAGACTTCAATGCACTTAGTTTAATAAAAATTAATGTCTTAAAATTTTTTATGTAATGCATATAATTTGACAATGTAAGCATCAATATCAATGAAATAAAATTAAGTTGAGAAGATATTAAATTATTCACTCTAATTTTCTAAAGCCCTCCTTAATAGCATCCCAGGACACTACAACACTCATTAAACAAATTCACATACAAGTTGATAATGCATTATTATAAATGTCAAGATTCAAAGTATGCTGTAGAAAAATAATAAAATTTTTTTGAATTATTTTGTTTGTGTGAGAGAATTTGAAACCATTCAAATCAATTAAAATTTATTATTAAAATTTTGTGTTTGTAGATTTTAAATTAATATTCATTTGTAATCATTCAAATCAATTGGCAATATTACAATATTATAAATTCATTACTTTTTAAAAGTATAATTATTAACATGAAGCAATCATATCGCCACTAAATCAATGTGAAAGGGCTTAAGTACTAATGTTTGTTTATTTTCATAATATGCATATTTATGGGATAAAGGATTTCTGTTCTAAAAACATTGATAAAGAAAATTGAAGTTGCACTAAATGAAGAGTTATATATTAATCAAATCTTGATGCCAACGAACTCATGATGCATAGACTTGGACTTCGCAAAGTTTGATGAACTCTCTGTGAAGCTGGAGAACTTGTGAAGGCTGGAGCTGAAAGCTGAAGCTAGTGCCAACAAACCTGCGTAAGTCAAATTGTCGAAGCTGCTGCTGAGCGGGGTTGCAACTGCGAGTCAGTAAATAATCAGGAATAGGTGGAGGTTAAGACTACAATTTTTTGAAGTCTTCACTGAGGTTTTTTTTAGCTTTTAAATTATTCATCCTTTATTTATTAGCTAGGATTCACTTATGGATCCCTATTCGCTACAACAACAACAACATCATCAAGCCTTTATCCCACCGTGGGGTCGGCTACATGAATAATTTTTCTTCATTTTGTCCTATTAAGAGTTGAATTCTCACTTAAATTTAATAGAAAATATATTTCTAATATTTTCTAGCCAAGTCTTTTTAGGTCTACTTGTATATTTCTTAACATAGGCCAAATCCAATACATATGCTCTCCTAACCTAAGAAGGCCGATAGTTTGTGTCCAAACCATCTAAGGTGACTCTCTTTAATCTTATTTGCCACTGGAACTACTTCAACCTTTTCATGTATGTGCTCATTTCACATTGTTCCTAAGAGTGAAGCTACTCATCCATCTGAGCATCCTCATCTCTACAACACTTAACTTAATTTTATGCTTCTCTTTGAATAACCAACATTCTGCACTATAATTCCATGCTTTCTAACAATCGATGTTAAAAAAAAATTAATTTCTAACAGCTCTTTTATTTTTTGAGTACAGGAACATGGAGTTTTACTGGCACATCTAATCGTTCATCTAGGTTTTTGGAATTTGGAAAATCTAATGGCCTGTCTGTTTTGGAGCTAGCGAGTTCTCGAACAAAAATAAATGGTGTACACTATGTTCAGGTGAGGAATCTGGAGTTTTCCTTTCTGAAGTTTCTATAGCAAGCTAAAGATTCACTTAATCTTTGTCTTGCTTATTCGCTTATTCTGTCTAAACATACATTTTCAACTGCGGTACATTAATTTGGCTTTTGAACTCCTGTTCTCGCTTAAACTTTTAATCTGTCCTTTTATCCAAATTGCATAGAATCTATCTTGTTTTCCTGTTTGTCTAGTTTTATGGAGTAGAGTTCTTCTTGTGTATCTTCTGGTAATGCATGTTTTTTTTTTCTTTTTCGCAACATTATGGGAGGTTTTTCCTTCTTGCTTTAGGTTTAATTTTCCACATGTCTTGTTTAAGCTTTGCTTCAAATTTTACTTGCAAACTTAGCAATTGTTGAACTCCTATTTGCAGGAAAATCATAGCGTTACAAGTCCGACTTCAATTATTTATGGCATGTTCTCCTGATTTCAACCCAGAAATATCATTTTTGTTTCAAGGGTTGTTTTGTGAATGGAATTATCATCTTATGTAGATTTCAATGCTGTCTTACATTTGAATGTAGTGTAATTTAACCATTGTTGTTTGTTTTGTTCTATGTTATGTTCATAAATTTCAGTGTTAACAAGAATAATCAAATGTAACGTTAAGAGCTAGTATTTTCTTTTTTTAATTCCTGTAGCCATTATAATTATTTGACCAACATTTAAATAGCAATTCTCTTTTCTTAAACTGACATCTAAATAGCAACAATTTTAATAGGTCCAGATCTAAACAAGGGATAATTGTTTGAAGATAACAAGACACGAAGATGTCAGTGAACTAAATACTCATCAATAAAATATTGTGTGTGTAATTCCTAAGACAATGAATAACTTCATAAGATTTAGCTGATCACGAATGAGATTGACATCACTTAGTAATTAGTTATTCTTGAAAACTATGGCAAATAGTGTTCTGAAAAGCTATTAATGGCTATATACTTGTTGCTTCCTGGAATATTCGCGGTGGTAGATAAATATAAAGTTTAGTGTCTTAGCTTTGTACGAAGATCCAACACGAATATAGATAAAAGAATAGGGTGCAATATTCATAAGAGACACCATGATTTTTATGTGGAAAACCTTGAAAAGGGGAAAAATCACGGGGTCGGGTCTAGTTTAAATGAATCCACTAATATTTGTAGTTGATTACAGATGAGGCCCTTCTTTAGGGGGAAGGCCTTGGATCGATGTAGCAAATATACATTATATAGAGTGCATTACATGGTGAGAGTTGGAAGAATCAGTGTTGACCAGTTCGTTTGGTCAGCATGACCATAGTCGGCGAGCGATGTAGGTCGGAAAGACTGCAGTTGATGAAGGTGGTCGAAGAGACCGTAATCGGCATGCGACGGAGGTTGAAAAGACCGTAATTGATGAATGTGGTCAGAGAGACTGTAATTGGCAGGCGATAGAGGTCGGAAAGACCATAGTCAGGTCACGTTGGTGTCCAGGCAGAATTCTGGTGATAGTTAGTGGTCGGGTGAAAGTTCGATGACGGTCGGTGACCGGGCGTAAATCATGTATCAGTTGGTGGTTGGACGGAAGTCCGGTGACAGCTGGTGGCCGAGCAGAAGTCCGACGATGGTCGGTGGCCGGGCGAAAATCCGGCAACGGTCGGTGGTCGAGGAGTCTTGTGGGAAGAGAACTCTGATTTCTCTTCCTTCTTTTCCCCCCAGTGAAGAATGAGAGGTCTATTTAAAGTTTTCTATGAGTAACATGACCAGTAAAGAGGGAGAATATCAAGGGCATGTCGGGAGTGTTTCTAATGGACGATTAATATCAACTACTTTGATCATGGACTGTTTATCGAGTATTTAAATGCCTTATTGATGTCAGAATTTAAATGCCTTATTGATGCCAGAATTTAAATGCCTTATTGATGTCAGAATTCGACGATCTTTGGCTCGTCTTGTCAAGTCGCTCGATTCGACTATAAGTAGGGGTGTCAATTTTGGGTCACAGGTGGGGTTCGGGTCGAACCCGAAACTGATCGGCACTATTTGGGTCAACCCGAACTCGACTCTTTTTGAAAACGGGTCAGTTTTCCGGACCCAAACCCGACCCGCTTTAGGTCTGAATCAACCCGACACGACCCGAATGACCCGATGCCAACAAAAAAATGCTAGTTTTCAGGTACAAAAACGAGTCAATATTTGCTTTTCGGGTGAAAAACATGTCAATCTTGGGTTGCCGGGTCAACAATGGATCAATTTCGGGTCAAAGGGTCAACCCGAACCCAACCCAATTTTTTAAACGGGTAGAATTGTTGAACCCGAACCCGAAATTTTCGGTCCGGTTCGAGTCAAGTTTTCGGGTCGTGTCAAATATTAACACCCCTAACTATAAGAACGTTGCGTTTGGAAGTCGTTTGGTCGTCCAATTGATGGTTTGAACCTTCCAGATGCGCTTCGGGTCTTTGATTTGGACTCATTTGAGCTTGGATTGGGTCAAATTTGGTGTTGTTGGGTTTGTCTTTTCGAGATGTTTAGTTCGACTGTAAGATTGCTGAAATCGGAGTTTGGATGGTCCTGGATTTAATTTTGGAAGTTTCCAACTCAAATTTGCCTCAAGATTCTTGCTCGATCAAGATTAATTTTTGATGATATATCTATACTTAAGAAACTTAGACTTTTAACTCAATTAATTATCATATAATCCATACTCTGAGATTATAATGTATACTATTTATATTTTCAGTTCATGGGCCTTTTGGAAATTGCTAATGAGAATATTAACGTGCTTGCCTAGCTTTTATTTCAGAAAAATTCTTTAAATTTGGGACAACTTCAAATAGTTTCTCTTCCGATCAAGCAATATGAGGTTTGTAGCTACTAAGGCTTTCTGTTAGTCTAACTTTCACCGTTATTGATGGTTGACTCATTAGAAGGAAATATAAAAATCACACATAACGAAGAAAATGAAGAATCTCAACAAGAAGGTGAGAGAACAAAGGTTGGAAGAAAGAAACCCTAACCTTGTTTTGATACTATGTTGACAAGTAGAAAGGCAGAAAAAAATTATGAATTTATTAGTTGATTATGCACAAAGTGTGTAAGTATATATAGACTTAGGCAAAAGTTTTACTATGGAAATAAGTCAAAACTAATTTAAAAAAAATGAAAAATATCCCAAAGAGAGTTTGGCTGCTAGAAGAGGATGAAAATGCACACAGATTGCTATCTAAGAGTCATAAGAAGATCGATTCAATAGTTACAACCATTAATTTGTGTGTTGAAGAACTCCTATCAAGATTGGTTGACTTTTGGATACCACCATCATTCAATATTTTGATTTTTCTAGCTGACAACTTAGAAGGTTGATAAAAAAATTGGGATCCAATTTATTGAATACTCTACTATAGTAATTGATATTCATTTGTTTTATTTTTCTATGATGCTTTTCATGATCTACGTGAATAATCTTTTACTTGTTATCAACTTGGTGACCTCCTTATGGTGAGTTCTTTAATTAATTAATTCTCTCTCTCTCTCTCTCTTATTTACGCCAAATTTAGTAAATTTTTCTTACAGGTAGTAGTGGTGTAAACAAGCTGAGCCTAGTAAGTTAAACTTTGTCTAGCCGGTCTTGTTAAGAAAATGCACTTATTGTTATTCATCAATCTTATTTGTTTATAGAGTCAAATACAACTTGTATGCCTAACTGAAAGTCTTTCTTAGATTCTTACAATCATGTATCTTCCACACATAAACACACATTTTTATCTATAAGTTTAATAAATCTTTTGTTGTGCCAAATTATATTGAGCTAGGCCATGTTTTTTTTTTTGATGTTTAAGTCAATTAAGACAAACTCACACACACATCATATACGCAAGACTCGAACTCAAGGCCTCTTAGTTGGTAGTCAAAGCTCCCAACTAATAGATCAAGATGAGCTGCGTAGCTAGGCCATGTTCATGTTCTTTTCATCTAATAAACTACTCACCAAGGTTAATTATTCATGAAAATATCGCTAGGTCGACAGCCCTAATTGATAACACTTAGCTGTTCTATTCTTTATTTCTTTTCATTTTCTCTGCCTATGTGCTTTTTTACCATGTGAAGTTTTTGTCTTATTTAAGATGAGGGAATTTGAGTAGTGTTTGCAATTTTACCACAATGATGATACAAGCAATAAAGTAAAAGCAGCGGAAAATAAAGGACAACATGATTTAACGTGGAAAAATCCAAAATAGGAAAAAAACCACAGAGCCACACCACACCAAGAAATCCTTTATTAAAATTGGTATAAATAAGTACAAATCTCTATTCTTTCGCACTCTCTCCTTGCTTCTCTTCTCACATTCACTGCTCTCAACACTTACCATAACTAAAAATAAAAGAGAAAGCTGAGTAAAATAACTCCAAGGAATGCAAACCTTCAGAAAACGATAAAGAAACCGTCCAGTCCGTCTCGCAGCACTGCAGTGCTCAGTCTCTATCTTGACCCGCTGCGGCGCTGCGGCGCCATATCTCGACCACCGTTGTGCTCTGCTATCTTTCGTTCAGCACTGGGGCACTTGAAAATACAGCGCAAAGGCTCTCGGGTACACAACGACGGGGCATTCTACGGGGAAAAAAATTCCGGTTGCAAAGCACCCGAACCCAAGTAGGGGATAAACTCCCCGCACCCCCTAGTGCACACGACAAGCTTTGAGGTCCGAGACAACATAATAATAAGATTGATCAATACAATCAGATTCCACACATAACAAATTTCTGTTTAGATATTTACCTATTAATCTTTAACCTGTTCAGGTCTGATCTATGTTTATGCTGAAAGTAGTTTTAATGTGACGTTAGTCTTGATACATTCTGCTGTTCAGATATTTAATATGTATATAGTTTGTTGAATAGAGCAATTGGAAAATTTTCATCTAACAAATAGTCTGTTGTGTTGCATGTTATTCGCTTATTGAAATTCTACCGGTCTTTGTCCAATCCTGAAATAGTGTTGCATTGGTTTGCCTACACAATGGTATATCATGAAATTTAGGGGAATAGCTGGGGATCTTTTTTTTTTTTATATATATAATGTTGAACTATGCACCCTGTAAAAAATTCTTGCTGTGATGATCCTCAACAACCCATGAATAGCATCGTATAGTTAACTTCTTATTTTGAACCGATTATAGGCCTGTAGCAAGAGTTCAGTTCTCCCCTGCTTTTCCTCCAGTTATTTGCAATAAAAAAATGCATGCTTAAATTGCTGTGTTTTAACTCAACATATCCCACACAATGATGATTTTTGCAATATTTATGAGAGGTCTTTGTTTGGGATCCAACTACAAGTAGTTAACAGGATATGAATAGTCTTTTTAGCTCAAAATCATCTTACTACAATCTTATTATGAAACTCCATTATGTTCAGGAAAGAGCTTCTGCTTGTTCTTCATTGGCATCTTACTACAGGATTTGCTGATTAAAACTGTTTCATGTTAAATGCTATGGTTTATTAACCATATATTTGATTTGCTTAGCGGTGCTCTAATTCAGTTGGGAAACAATCAATATAATTTGAACATTATTCAACCCACCTATTACAACCCTCGATATGGCATATGTGATTGTGCATGCATCTTTTCAAGTTAATTCAGTTTTAGATAAAGGCATGTCTACATTTCAGATTCTACGAGTTGATTAATGATCACTGATGAATAGATAAACCTATCTGCATGATCATCTAAGATGCCTATATGCTTATGCCATGAGATCAAGAATTATTTATATTTCTGCTCTCTTTTGTATCAGGGAGCAGTTATTTTTCATGATGTTCACGACAGTGAGAATGATCTTGGAGCTACTCAAATGCGAGTAGAAGGTGTTTATATCTGGCCTTTCAAGCAACTTCGGCTGGTTGCAAGCAGGTAACTTTGTTGTCAGACGTGCTATTCAAAACCCAACTGTGCTTATTATCTGTTTAATCTTATTTTTGTTCTCTTATCATAAAGATGACTTGATCTGATGTTTAATATATCGTCATAGTTTTATTTTATATTGTGGTTGTGATCTGCGTCCATATAAGGCTATAATTTGACCTCAACTTGACCCAAATGGATCATTGATAATAGGCCTACACTTGCTAGTGTGGTGAAACATGCTACAATAAAGGCAAGGCATCATTAAAAATATAAAATAAAAGACTAGATGTTTCATCTCTCCTTAACTCATGAATGTGAAATATTAGAAGCCAGTGAAAAGGAAAATGGTTAAATTCTAAAATGTGCATAAGCAAAAGATTTTCCTGCAAAAAGGTAACCAATATTATGGCCCCAATGTTGAATAACATGTTTCCTTTAATTTGTGGGATTATAGTGATCTCCTTATTTCTGCGGGCTTTCCAAAATGAGGCGGTGAATTGCTTCTGTGAAGCTTGTATGTGTTAAGATCAAGTATTTTGGATTTATTATATTGAATAATGGGATAAAGATGATAAAACTTATGGAGTTACGATTGTGTAATTATAATGGAGAAGTGTCTTAGGAATATTAAACAATAATAATATATCACAAGGACTTAGAAATTTTTATAAGCTTGTAATTAGATCAAGAATACATATGGATTTGAATTTTGAATAGTTAGAAGTTATTGGAGGTTAAGTTGAGCATTACAGTATACTCTTATATGTTTATTTAGGTATTTCACATGTACTTAGTAGTTTCTAGCTGGAGAACTAGGCTAGAGTCATCCTAGTTCTTGAGATCACTTGCTGTCAAAGACACTCGCCCATCAAAGACACTCACCAATAGGGAACGTGACTTGTTTCGGTCGATTGATTTGAGGAGGCATCATAGAAACAACACCGGGGAACTCTTATAGGTTCCTCCAAGCCTAATGGAGATAGTCACCTAGAAGGAATTCGGTATCTTGAGATCACTTGCTGTTATTCAGGCCATTAGACCACAGCTGACGCCCCACTACCAACTACAAGAAGTGTATACATCAGGATTTTAATATTACATCTCACCAAACTCAACTAATCCTCAGCTCGCGATCATCACTGACCGAAAGGACTCCTCCCTCGTGCTCAGAGGTTCATACACTACCCAGAGACTCGTGTGCATCTAGAGGACTTGCCCAACTAGATTCGTTCTACATGGCCATACCTTGAGGACTCGCTCATAACACTTGCCCATGAAGATTTGTATAGGGGGACTCACTCTAGAACAGTAGGTCATGTCAGAAGCAAAGAACCATGTGGAAACCTATAGCTAAGCCACATTTTAGATACGGACTATAATGAGTCAATTTGAGCATTGTACTTTCTTACTTTTTTAGTGCAACATTCTCTGTAGCCCTCTAAACCCTATAAATAAAAAGGCGAAGAGGCACATTTTGGATCTTTTGAAAACTGTCTAATCTTTATAATATTTTGAGCATACTTTACATTGCCATATTCCTCTATCTCTCTCTCTCCATAGTCACCCAAACCTCTCTATTCTTTAGTTCACGCCTAAAAAATTGTTTGCTAGTAAAGCTGGGTATCATCCTAGACAATTTGGATCTAACAATTCCAAAATTAGGAAGGGTAGGTTGGATTTGTGGAAAAATTAATGAATGATTAAATTTAGTGGAATGCATGGAGTGTCATCTGCTAAAGATAATTTATTTGAAAAGAGACTTGTGTGTTTGGCATATACAATAAAATATAAAATGCACCGATTAGACAGGGAAAAAACTTACTTTTGAGGATTAGGAAGAAAAAAGGGTAACATGAATAAACATTGTTGAGTTTTTTATGCGAACATCCGACGGTGGGCATTAATCAAAGGAGGAGACCAAGATCTCGACGGCCGAGATCCCTTCATTTTATCTTATTTTATTAATTGTAATTTTTATTTAATTATGCATTTTTCTTTTTTTACCCTTAAGGGATTTATTTTATGTAAGCCCAAGGGGCAAAATTGTCTTTTAGTTTCTTTTAAGGCCTATATATAGAGGTCTTTGCTCTTGTATTAGAACATGATGGATTATTGATACAAAAAAAAAAAAAATTTTTTTTGCACTTTGGTTCTT